AAATATATTCAAGGCTTTAGTTTTGTTTTCAGTTATTGTGTCACAGAGTCTCATAATGTTATTCTGAGATGCAGTGACAGAATAGAGACTCAACAGTGATAGGAATCAAATGATCTTAAGCTATAATAGTTATCTGTAAAAGCAAAATGATTCCACTGATCAATAAAAAAAAAATCAATTGCTATTGTCAGGATGCTGTAGGAATGATGACGCTGAATTTCCAGTGATTTGATATCAGATGAATCTGCTCCAGAGCAAGTTAGAGGTGCAGCGTAAATTACCTTGGTGATTTACCTTGGTAATAGGGAGTCCGAAACTTTCCTGTGATTATGTAATTTCAACTTCACAAAGGACGATAAAATATATTAAAATACAGATTTTAAACATGGGTCACCGAATTGTGTTTTGAATAATATAATTAATTAGTTTCATTCGTTAATCTAATTGAAGTGATTGACCTCTGTTGTTGCTGGCCTGTGATTACCCAGCTTCCCCGGGCTGGTGGAAATGTGCCTGTGTGTTTCTATAGATGACAGATCTCTTGACTTGGCACTTTTCCCTGTGGCTGAGCACATGGGGACATTTCTCTGCCCTTGATGAAGGGCGAAATGTGCCGGAGCAGTTTCTCATACAAAACATACTATTAATGGCTCATCAGGGGTTCCACCGTTAATTATTATTAACATTGAATAAAGTTTGAAAAAAGTAAGCTTGATGACATCATTGGTTTTATCTCAGTTTTGGCTTGAATGTCTGTAGAACCCATTTCCGATATACAGCACTTATTCAGAACAGCAGTTGCACTGGAGATGAGATGTTGAGGAGATTATCAACACTACAAATAAGTGATAAATCTAATGTTGTGCACTGTTGAACCAAAGTCAGTTCACTAACCAAATTGCATCTGTTTCATTTGAAATTTCGCATTGAAAGAAAACAGACATTTGTGAATTTCAAATTCAACGTTCTCTCGTTCTGTGATTCATCCGCCGGCTTTACAACCGATCGAGCAAGTGAATAACACAGTGAGGCCACATATGCTACAGTTTTGTTTTCACAGCTTGCAGGTACACATGCTTCAGCAGGGGACACACACACACACACACACACACACACACACACACACACACACACACATTGTTACACACACACACACACACACACACACACACACACACACAGAGCTGTATTGGCTTTGAAGCAGCAGTCCGACATGTCCCTCTCCATGGTTCTGAAATCCCTGATATGGTTGGCTGGGTTGCCATCTGGACAGTAATATGTGTGTGTGTGTGTGTGTGTGTGTCATAAGTATTTTGCGTCTTATGATTTGACTAATTCCACCATTTCTGCTTCCCCATAACTTATCAAACCATCGCAGTAGCAGAGATTAGGGCTGAGCAGTCCGTCTTTTTGTTGATGTTTAAGCTGTTATCTGACAATAAAGATTAATATAGAGTTTAGGTTACTTCAGCTTAGTTTATAGAATGTATTTATTTAATCCACATCATCCACATCAAATCATCATTTAAAACCTCGATCTTAGCCCCATCAATTAATCTTCAACTGTGCGCTCCTTAAGAATTAATTAAAGGTTCCCGGAGTGTCACTGTCATCTAATTAAAATCCACATTAATTAGAACATGAACACACAAGGGCAAATTAATAAATTATAAAATACAGTTGCTGGCTGTTACTGCTGCAGTGGTTGAAGTTAAACTTCTATCGTGTGTTTGGCTCTAAGCTTCGATCTCTGACCTTGACATTTTAATCAAGTCCGAACCCTCGCCTCAATTTATATCACTTTCTATAAATAAACCAGTCGGTGCTGTCGGCTCAACCTCGTACTTTACCTTAATCATGAAAGTTTGCTGGAGATTAATTGCGGTTGTAGGAACCCTTCACTCTTTTTCTCCCTCCTGGGTGTGAAAATAGAAACACACGTAAAATATTACACACTCATTGGTCCTCCCCTGACTCCTCATTAGGGATTGCAACAGACAAAAAAGGATTCAAGGCTCTCCCCACACACACTTCTCTTCTCTCACCAGTGTTGGTTTCCCTCTTTCTGTTCCTCTTTCCTTGGCCCCAGGGATGAATATCTATAGAATGGGACCCTATTGTCTGGACTTTATCCACTGAGGCACAGAAGGCTGCAGAGCCTCAAGGTTGAATGCATTATGGGGGCCAAACACAGTGCCTGGGACTCCATATTAATATCATCCTTAGGAAATGGTATTAAACTTTAATCTTGCATGCTGTTATGTTATCTGCCTTGAATAACTGTGTTGTTCTTTGCCAATTAGAACTCAGATACAGAGACGCTGCAGATCCATCGCTGTGATGAAACGTTGTGCAGCATCGTCAGCGCTGTTCCAGTAATTAGCCTGTGCTATAAGGGGCCGTCATCAATGTTATTTTTAGCCTTTACAGTGCAACAGCAACAGGGGGGCCCGGGCGTGCTGCGTTTTCTTTATGTACAAACGTTGAGCGTCGGCCATCAGTGTCACTCCTAATTTTCCTTTAAAAGGAGCAGTGAGCAGATGGAGCGAGCAGACTTCGAGGTTTGTTATAAAACCATCTGCTTCTCGCTTCGCATCCTAAGACCCGCAGATCGACAACACGTCATGTGTGTCAGTGAAGCTTTAGGCTGAAGTTCTGTCATCACAGAGGTGATTTACAGATGGTGCATCCAGAGAACAACTGCAGCACCTGCCTCAGAAAACTGCAGCCACCTCGCAGAGTTTTTAATGTCATGTGACTCGGTGACATTCTCCAGCACCAGTTGAACTTCATTTCTAACCAGCATGCATTGCTCCAAGTCCAGCATGCTTCATTTGAAGTCAAAGCTGTGCAGCACCACATTAAACACACTTATAACATTGTGCCTTTGTTTTCCTCTGTGTCTATGCTAAGCTAAGCTAACTGCCTGGTTACAGTAGCATCGCATTTCTCTTACAGGCATCTTACGGACATGGTAATGAAAGTCAAGAAGGACATTTCTCTATTTTACTTTAAGACATTTAACACTTGTGCATTTAGACATATTTTCTGAAATGCAAAACTGATTTTTGCAAATATATTTATCTCCAATCTGAAAAATCTCCAGTATAATATATGCATCTAGTCGTGGCTGTTCTTTGAATAGGCTCTAATGAAGTACAGTGAAGGTGAAATCTATTGAATTTGCTCTCCTGTCTTCAACCCGTTCTGGGACCAGATATCCAGCGTCCCTCCTGCAGGGCCCAGCTGTTGCTGCGACGCCTGCTCGGACGTTGACGGCCTCTCGTGTGAAGCGAGGTTTGCGAACTCATTCAGTCGCACTGTGCTTAGAATTAATCAGCCGTGTTGTTCGGTGGGGGGGGGCCTGGCACTTAATCATTCACTACAATCACACTGTACCCCAGAGAGCGAGAGAGGCCACCAGGGAGAGTGAGAACAAGAGAGTGTGAAAGAGAGTGAGAAATAAAAGAGCTGGAAAATGAGAGGTTTTTTTATTCTAAGTCCTCGAGGACGGTGTTTGTGTTTGAGTGGCTAAATGTTCAGTGTATCTACAGACATTTTGCTGGACTGATTATTGGCATCCCTAATTCATATGCTAACTGGTACATTTGTAATTCAAAGGGAAAAACAAAGGAGTGTATTGAATTTGAATAAAAATGTCCACTCGGGGGGGATCAGTGCTGTTCTGAATGAATAGCAATTAATTTACCTGATTTACTGCATGTTACTAAATGTTTATATTGACAGACTGGATAGAGTGTGAGCATCATTTTTATTTGTTTGACCGTGACTGTGAACGTGATGAGAGGACAGTGTTGATCGCTCGGCTGCTGCTCGTCTGGAGATAGTATTGATACGTCGGGTCATACGGAGTTGATCGATAAACCTTGGTGGCGTTCAAATCTCCTTAGAGGTTTAAACTTATAACTCAACCCTCTTGTCCGTGCCTATGTTAAATACTCAAGTAGATAAATTCACCCTGTCTAATATAATAGCACACGCCGCCTATTTAGCCCGTTAGCTCATGATGCAACATTAAATACAACATTGAAAAATGACTATGCAGTGAAAAGACAGCTGCACTCTGTCTCCTCCAAACAATAGCTGCATTCTGCCTTTAAATGATTCATCCCGAACACAGACGATGTTGCTATCATGGCGCGGAGGGATTGGAAAAGGCTGCGAGTGAATTATTTATTCCTCCAGTCCAAAATGTACTGCTCCCTCATGACTCAGGCTGCACGGTCGATTTGGTCGAGTAACTCTGTCCAGGAACGGCGTCCTGAAGACTGTAATAACTACACACGCTGGATTGTTGATGGTGTCGTGTGGCGATTGTAAACCGTAATATATTTTTTTCGAATAAGCCGGTATTGATCCATTCGTCTCTCACAGAGGCAGCAGCGGGCACCATCCCCGATTCTCCTGCAGACAAAGTGAAGCTTTTTATATTTATTGAAGCACTGAAGCAGCAGCTGCATGGAAATAGAGGAACAGTTGTGTCTGGAAAATGCACGTCTGCAGAATCATATAATATTAATGAAAGGTTATTCTCTTTAAACTTTGTTGCTCTATGCAGTCTCCTGAGCTGTTGTCGTTTTCCCCCCGCTGTGGTTTGGTACAGTAGGTCTGGTGTGGTGTGCAGTAACTCTGTTTTGCTGTTGACGCCTGATTTGATTTTGTCAATCAGGCACCGGGTCCTTTATCATGACAAGTCAGCTCTTAGTGCCGTGAAAACCTGTGTCAGGAAAATGGGAACAGTGTGTCTATTGATCAGAGTGAAACGGCATCCTACACAGTCAGAGAGCAGGTGTCTCTGAGGGACGGCCTCAAAAAAACAGCGCTCTCATGGACTGGGATGTTTGACTATATGACTTCAATCGCTTGTCTTTGTTGCTTGTTATATTTGTTTTTATTTTATACTTTTATGCGTCTGCCCGAGAAACAACCAGTGTCCTGGGGAATTAAGCTTTCGAGTTGTTCGTCTCATTCTTGTGAACATGATATCCCAAGAACGCCTCGAAGAAATTTCTTCGAATTTGGTGAAAATGTTCAGTTTGACTCAGGGATGAACTGATAAGAATTTGGAGGTCAGAGGTCATTTCTTTTTTGCCTCTTGAATGTGTTGTCTTAAGCCACTTTTCAATGTTGGCTTTAATTTCCTCTTAGACTCAAAGAACAGAATTTTTGACCAGTTGTCACATGGACTCAAACATGAACTGATTAGAGGTCAAAGGTCACTGTGACCTCATGAGTCTGAAAATGAAATGTGTGATAACTAAAAACTGCTCTGGTTGGCAGAGTTTTACATCTGCAGGATGGTAATTCTAATTGCATCACTTGTACTCCTCCATCTTCTAACCATCCCTTTTTTTTTTTCCCTCCCCCAGGCATTCGGCCAGGCCTACACCAACCAGCGTAAGGTGGCGGAGGATGGAGAGACCAATGAGGAGACACTGCTGCAGGAATCAGCCTGTAAAGAGGCCTACTACACTGGACGTGTGTCGGAGCTGCAGACAGAGGTGACGCTGAGCCGCTCGGTGGCGTCCAACGCCCAGGCAGAAAACGAGCGGCTCAACGCGCTCGTGCAGGAACTAAGAGAGGTGAGTTTTTCACACTCAGACTGATTGGCAGGACAGCTGTGGTTGGCAGCATATATTATTTATATATTTATGTACAGAACATTAATTGTAAATATGCAGTATTGTGTACTGTACAAATACTTTGTTGTATGTTGGATAAAGAAATAATTTATTTTGAAAGGTGTTCATTTAATACCCAAAGACAAAGCCAAATATAAAACCTGCACTTTGATTGTGTTACCTTTCTCGTCTTATGTGCAGTGCATTGACACATGAGATCCATGTGCCTGACAAAGGCCAAAGGGTCACAGTGACACGCAGAGCAGTACACACATGCATACGTGCCAGCATGTGTGCATGCATGCATGCATACATGTCCGCAGCCATTGTGTCGGGCGCTGCAAAAGTTCGAGCCGGGGTCAGACACCACGGCCACGACCCCATTGTGGGGGGCAAATCCGGCACTAAGCTGGGGAATAAGTGAAATGCCCTGAGCTCGGCACATGTGTAGGGATAGAGAGAGCGGGGCTGCTCTCATCACGCAACCATAACAGTCACAGCACACATGCACGCACACACACTCCCATTCACTGAACTCATCAGGGAGTGTTGTGACGTTTAGTTGACACACACACACACACACAGAGATATATCAAAATCTATATTTTTAAATTGGAAACTTATGACCTCATAAGCTTAGTCGATATACTCAAGTTGAGCTGTTATTTTTTTTCATCAGTGGTTTGACGTGTTCAAATACCTTCAATCCCCCTGTACATATGTGATGCTCATTAATTAGGAGGGGTCGTGTTTCCATCCTGAGAAGCAGGTGTTGTTACAACACTGGGGGATTCATTCCTCACAAATCACGTCTCATCTGGCAGGTTCATAAACATGTGCGGATTTATCAAGAAAAATCTGCTGGTGAATCTACAGGCAATATGTCAGTAAATCAGAAGTAACAGAAACTGTATTTTTATCACTGATCCTGTCAAGAATGTGTTTTCCTCATTCTCTTTCACCTCAGTTGGTATTGATGAATAATTCCAACACATCCGCTGCAGTTGCCAGAGCATCACAGATCTATCAAAGCTGTCACAGTCACAGTCGGTGCTGTGAACTCCAGGTCAGCGGCCGGGTTGCCGAGCTCGGCCCCGTGCCGGGCCCAGTGCCAGTGTTGTGTGCCGCACTGTCCCTGACCCCGGCCGCTGTAGCCCCTGATCAGCTATGCTTCCATTGAGCTTCACTGACTGATAATTGGCCTGTAATCCTGTGCACTTCATACTCTGCTCAGTGTTAAGCCATTTCTATAATATACTAGTTTTTCTGAAAATGTCATGTTTGCTTTCAGTTTTCTTGGCCTGGATCCATACAAAAGTATATTTCTTTAGTTGAAGCTGCACTACACTGAGCTTTGGACTTTGCCTCCATTAGCTCCAAGAGTATATGAGCTGCTGTCAGCCACTGTACAAATCAAAAGATTCAGTGGATCTTAATGGTCTTTCAGTTATAGTCCAGTTGCAAGTTCTAAAATAAACCATCCACCCTCAAACACACATAAATATCGAGATTCTGGAGGTTTAAAGCCCAGAATAAATGTGCCTGTGCTGCAGGAGCTCCGTCCTCCAGAGTGTTTCACCCGCTCCTGACACTGTGTCAGGGTCAGCACTTCTGCCATATGTAGAGGGAGCTGCAGGGAGCTCTGCAGTGAGAGGAGTACACACATACAGTATATACACACACACTCAAATAAATCATATGACCATCTGCCTACTCATTGCGTTGTTCTGGATACATTTAGTCGTGTTTGTACGCAAAAATAAGAGCTTTTCTATCCTGCTTCTCTTTTCTAAATTCACTTTAAAAGTTAATAACCCATTCACCTAACACAGGAATAGTATTTAGTTAATGGAGTCTGGGTTTTTAATCTGAAGGAGAAGGTATCCATTCATTTGGTCTTTAGTGAAAATTCCATCATAGTAGTTGTATGAGCACAGATGATTTTGCTGAGGTTCATGAGAGCCACAATCGGGCAATCAAGATAATTTGGCTTCACGTTTAGGCAGTTGTCATGTTGTCCATCTTTATAAACAGTCTATACTGCAGACTGTAGAACTGTCAATACTTTCATCATCTTCACAAAGGAGAAGTATAATTTAGGTTCAGCAGAACAAAAAGCACAGACTCTGCTCTACCTCTCTCTACCTTTTCTCACTCATGTGATTCATCCTCCCTGCTTCCCTCTTCCCATCCCTCTGTTTTTGTGACTCCAGAGTAACGAGATGCTGGAGCTGCAGAGGAGCAGGATGAGGGAGGAGATCAAGGAGTACAAGTTCAGAGAGACCCGGCTTCTTCAGGATTACACTGAGCTGGAGGAGGAGAACATCACGCTGCAGAAACTGGTCTCCACTCTCAAGCAAAATCAGGTCAGTATGAAGAATTCATCTGAATCATTCCTCAGAAACAGTGCAGCACACACAGCGGCAAAGTTTGTCGTCACTTTTATTGATGACACACAGTTGAGATGAATGACTCATTTCCCAGAGTCACTTTGAAACTTCTCCAAACGTGCTCATCTTAATGTCTTTAGTGTCAGTTGTGGGATGCCCTGAATAAAATATTCTCTTCACCCTTTAGTTTCCATAAGAGGATACATCCCCCCCTCTATTGGCTGTATTTATAATTTATTATACCTGGTCTGTGCTGGAGTAGATTAAAGCCATATAATCAATATAAAATCTCTATTATGCAGGACTCTGTGCCCAAGTCCAGATTAGTAATGATTTTTTGACCACATCATCCAGCCTATGATTTATATTAAATACTACATGGAGGAAGTATTTGGTAGTTTGGTGTTTAAGTTTTAAGGTTCTCCACAGCTACACTTGTTTATGTGTAATCGCGCCCTCAAACAGCCAGAGTTTGTGATGTCACAAACCTGAGAAACCAATCCTGTCAACTTGTAGGTGGGGCTCAGTAGTGTAATAAGCTACTGGAGAGGGTCTTTAAAAGGGAAAACACTAAATATTAAAGACAACTGTGCTATTTTGTGTTGTTTTTAAAAATGAAAAATAAATTCTTCACACTTTCTTCCTCTATTTTGGCCTGTGCTGCCTGGTCCTTAACAAGACTCATGTTTTATAATCTGATTAAGTCGTTAGAGTAAATGTCCCCTTGTCTCTTCTGTTTGTCCTCCAGGTGGAGTATGAGGGACTAAAGCATGAAATTAAGGTGCTGGAGGAGGAGACCGTCCTTCTCAACAGCCAGCTCGAAGACGCTTTACGTCTGAAGGACATCTCCGAGGGTCAGTTAGAAGAAGCCCTGGACGCCCTGAAGAGTGAGCGTGAGCAGAAGAACAACCTTAGAAAGGAGCTGGCCCACCACATCAGCCTGAGTGACAGCGTCTATGGGGCCGGGGCCCATCTTGCGCTCACCGTCACCGGTGTCGAGGGGCTTAAGTTCCCAGAGGAGACAAATGGAACCAACGGCACCAACGGCAGCACCGTCCCTGCCGCTAATGGCAATAATGAGGACAGCAACTGGCGCAATGGTCACATCCACACAGGCACGGGGCTGACTAAGATGAACGGGGAGTATCGTCCGGGCCGGAAGGGAGAAGCCCTGCACCCGGTGCCAGACCTGTTCAGTGAGCTCAACCTGTCAGAGATGCAGAAGCTCAAACAGCAGCTGCTACAGGTGAGTCACAGGAAGAGAGGCCTAAAGCAGGGGCAGTGAATCACTGTGAACTCAATTACCTGTAAAAACAAATACATTCTTTATCCCACAAAACAGCACATGCACAACTTTTTCATTGGATGATTCATTTTCAAGGACAGACGTGAAGACCATTTTTGCATGTGGAGATGCTATCTGCTATTTTTACAGTGTAAAACTATTTACTGCAGAGGAATGGAGCCAGAAATGATCGGCTGCACCAATGCACTTTCCCACAGTATGTAGTTTTTGTGTTGATCAATGTGCCACTGAAAAGATAGATCAGAAATATATGTACATGTGCATTTGCTGCCACATGTAACTTTAAGCACACGTGATTTTAAATGTGCAAAAGTGAGGAGAAATGAAAACTACATCTGAGTCACAGCAGATAATGGAGTCCGGTCGTAGATGGAGGCTGTAGCAGTAGATATGTGCGTGCTCTGTAGTGAGTCCTGTCAGGGTGATTAGCGTCCGATAAACAGGGGGAGCAGATTCAGCCGAGAGACAGAAACCGACTCCTTCTGCTTTTAGTTTGAAGGCGAGGGGACAGAAATAGAGACGCCACAATGTCAAGTTTTAAGTTTGACGTTTACTCACATTTTCCCCACGTTTTAGACTGAGAGTATGAGGATTTTGATATATGTGTGTAAACCTTATTAGGATAAGCTACGTCCATGTAAACAAAGAATTTTTTGATTGACTTCAGAATATTTTTTTTTTGTTGTTGAATGTTTTGGCAGAATGATATTAAAGGTATTCTGACAGGACCCTGTATGGTTATTACTATTAACTAGAGTATCTGTCTTTAAATAAAAGTTAGTAAAATGGTCACAGAATACAGGAGGAATACACACAAGACGTTATATAATGTAGTTCTCACTCAGCACATAGATCATATTCCTGCTTAAATGGAATTAAATCATTACTGCACACGTAGCTGAGCCTCATTGGGAAACAGCTAATCAGATCAGTGGCTGCTATATTAGCCGTGTGTCTTTCTCTGTAACGTATTTACTCCCTAATCAATTTCTCTGTCGACTTGATATAAGAAGTGAACACAACAGCTGAGTATTTTCACCTTAACACTGCAGTAAACAAATGCCAGGCTGAAAAAAGAAATGTTGTATGGCAATCCCATCACCTCTTACTGCTTGTTGAATTTTCTTCAATAGTTTATAGTTTAGGTCCATGTCCCATCTGCTAACATGGAGGAGGCTTTTAACTTGATTGACTCGCATGTCATTGTGTCTCCCCCCCATCCTGCAGGTGGAGTGTGAGAAGGCAGCGCTGCTCTTGAACCTGCAGGAGTCACAGACCCAGCTGCAGCACACACAGGGCGTCCTGACCGAGCAGAACGAGCGCGTCCATCGTCTCACAGAACGCGCCAATGCCATGAAACGTCTCAATGGAGACAAAGAGCTTGATGACCCTCAAGAGAGCGAGAAGCCCGATGGTGGCTCAGTATCGCCACCAGCTAATGGTCACCATGATGCTGACATCCACGGGTTTGAGATCCTGGAGTGTAAGTACAAGGTGGCGGTGACGGAGGTGATCGACCTGAAAGCGGAGCTCAAGGCCCTGAAGGAGAAGTATAACCAGGCTGTGGAGGGTCAGGGAGACGGCCACAGTGACGACAGAGTCCACACACTGAGCGAACAGGTTTGTTGTTGTTATATACAGATTCAAATTCTGTTTTTATTTATGCATCAATTGTAACATTGAGATTATTAACTTCTATCAACTCGGTTCAGCATCATATGACATTCCAGTTGTCCAACTGATTTCCTCCAAGCAGGTAACTCATCTGGAGCGCAGTCATCGTGAAAGCCGAGAGAGGTTGGCGAGCCTAGAGGCAGAGCTCCGAGCGGCTATGAGCACGGCCACGGAGAGTCAGGGGATGCTGAACACAGCGCAGGATGAGCTGGTAACCTTCAGTGAAGAACTGGCACAGCTCTACCACCATGTCTGCTTGTGCAACAACGAGACACCCAATCGCGTCATGCTGGACTACTACCGCCAGAGCCGCGTCACACGCAACGGCAGCCTGAAGGGCTCCGATGATCCCTGGGCTTTGCTCTCGCCTCGCTTGGCACGACGCCTCGCAGCAGCGGCTGCAGCTTGCTCCCATGAGCCCCAAAGCAGTCCCATGGGCTCCCCATCCAAAGACGCCCATCACAACGAGACGACGGCCAACACAGGGGACTCCTCATCCTGCCACAGCAGCCCCACCCGCAACCTCACAGGCTCCCCAGGCATCAGCATCTCTCCTTGCCCGTCTCCACTGCACTTAGAGGCAGGAGGAGACCTGCGGAAGGAGCCCATGAACATCTACAACCTGAACGCCATCATCAGAGACCAGATCAAACACCTCCAGAAGGCTGTCGACCGCTCGCTGCAGCTGTCCAGGCAGAGGGCTGCAGCCAGGGAGCTGGCTCCGATGCTGGACAAGGACAAGGAGTCGTGCATGGAGGAGATCCTCAAGCTCAAGTCCCTGCTCAGCACCAAGAGAGAACAGATAGCCACACTCAGGCTGGTGCTAAAGGCCAATAAACAGGTAAAGCTTTTTCTTTGCTCTGAATACACCAAGAAATAATCATGTGGTTTCCATGGAAACTGAAGTGTTAAGTCTAAATTCTCTCCCAGACAGCAGAGGTTGCGCTGGCAAATTTGAAGAGCAAGTATGAGAATGAAAAGGCGATGGTGACCGAGACCATGATGAAGCTGAGAAACGAGCTGAAGGCTCTGAAAGAAGATGCTGCCACCTTCTCGTCTCTCAGGGCCATGTTCGCCACGAGGTGAGACGGGTCACGCAAATATGAAGCTGCTGAGATAGAGAACGGCTTCCATGTGTTAATGTGAATAGAGAACTGTGTGTAAACAGAAACCTGTGCTCTTTTCTTCCTCTCCCCAGGTGCGATGAGTACGTTACCCAGCTGGATGAGATGCAGAGGCAGCTGGCGGCAGCGGAGGACGAGAAGAAGACGTTGAACTCCCTCCTCCGTATGGCCATCCAGCAGAAACTGGCCTTGACCCAGCGTCTGGAGGATCTGGAGTTTGACCACGAGCAGATCCACCGCGGCCGCGGCGCTAAAGTGCCCAAGATTAAAAGCAGCCCGCCCAAAGTAAGTTGCAGAGGTGCTTTCACGGCTCCACCCAGCCCTACCAGGCTGCACAGCCACTCCATCATCACCAGCTCCTCCCTAACCCTCAGTAGTCCTCCCCCTGTAGAGAATCCTCCCTGTCCGCCCATGTCTGCGTGGATTTCTGAAACAATCCAGACCTCAGCTTCAACATTGCCCGACTTGCGTCGCTCCAGTTTGTCTCAGGACAGCTCTGAGTGGTTAACCTTAGAGTTCAGACGGCTCAATTACTCAAGACAAGACATAGGTAAACTGTCCCCATCACACAAACCCAGAAACTATAGCTCTGCATCAGTGTCTCCTCGCGCTCGGCGAAGACTTTGATTCCTCATCATCTGCACACTCAGGATAATGTGGGACTCAGAGGGGAGGTTTGAAAACTGGTTTCACATGTGAACATCCAGAAGCACTGAGGATGAAGGAGCCCGGGACAACCTGCTCCATCCTCAAAACTGCACTGATCGGCACATTTGCTGTGCAACATTGACTGAAAGATGAACAGTGAAGAATTTTCAAATAAAGTTTATAAATTAGGCATTTTAACTGGCACCTGAATAGTTTCTAACATATTATCCCATATATTACTGTGCTTTAAAGTATTTCAATGTGAAAACCAAGCAAAAAAAATGGCTGGCATCTATTTCAAGATATGACTCAGAGCACCTCCCAGTGGCAGTTTTAGTCAATTACACATTAGTATTTTATTTAAGAGCTGATTTAACCCATTTCATTAAGCTCATGACATAGTTTTTATGCTATAGAATCATATTTCCTCCAGTTCCTCTTTGCATGCATCATATGTTCACATCAAAAGGCATTTGACAGGCACAGAGTGGTTCATGTGTATAGAGTACTGCATTAATATAGAAACCAGCCGCACCTCCTCTCTGTTGCCCAGCGCTCATCAGTCTCCTTCTACCCCGCAGGTCGTTTGAAAAAGAAAAGCATTATTATTCCTACATCAATTCCCTGATAAAAACATGCTGCCAACTCTCTCCACTGGGTGACAGTGTTTGAACACATTTCCCTTCTCTCTCCTGTCAAATGCTGTTTGACTCTCATCCCACCTCAGGGCTCGACTTGAATGGACTAAAAAATAAACGTAGTTTGAAGATGAATGAAAATGATTTCTCTGATGAGCAGCAGTTGTTCTGGAGATGGAGCAGGACTGGATTGTTCAGTGTTAGTCCCACGTGTCTGTTGTGCCTTACACATAAATACAATATTGTATTTGCATTTTGTGCATTTGGGTGGATAGGGGTCCATGTTTTTGTGTCTTTGGGTGATATGTGTTGTCTGCCTCCTGTGATGCATGTGTAGCTGTGCTGAAACTGGTCCTGTCAGTGTGATCAGATGAGACTGGTTTCAATTTTTACTAAAGCCCAACTGACTTATTGATAGGCCGATGAAAAAAAGCCAGTATGAGCCTTTCATGGACATTTACCCTCCAGAAAAAACAATACAGAGAGGATGTGCGTTTATGTTAAATGTTT